TTGCAGTTTCTTGATCTATCTTCTTGCTTCTTTTCTGATTCTTTTACTGTGGCATTTAAGATCTACCATCTCGAGAATGAGTTCATGTTTTATTAACCCTACAAAGAAACTTAGTATATTATAACTAGTTGTTGAGAACTGTTCCACTAGCCTGAAAGTTCACTTGTCTACTTTATCCATTTCTTCACTGTTATCCACTATCAATCTGGTATTCTTCTCTTCTGCTTCCTTTTTTCTTTTCTATAAAAGTTTTTTGAAATTTGTCAAAACTCCTTCAAGACCTTTATTCCATATCTTCTTCATTTGTTCCTTATATACTGGGTATTCTAGCAAGTGATTAATTGTTTCTTTCACCTTAAGATTATATGCAGTATATTTCACTTGCTTGTATAGGTCTGGCCTTCTTATCGTTAGTTTACTCAGTGTTGGTAGCTCATCATTCATTAACTTGATCAAAAAGCTCTTTCTTGGACAATCATTGAAAGATGTATTCTATGTATAGCTATTCATTCTCTCTTATACTAGATTTCATGTATGGCCTTATTGTTCTTGAATTTGGTGGCTCCATTTCTTTTCTATTCTATTTTGTAATATCTACTGATATGCTGTAGTTTTATTATTAATTTTCTTGATGAATTGTCTTATGGGATCATTTAAAGTTTTATTTTGCCACTTGATTTTTGTAGGGATTTTGTATGAGGTGAGATTTTTCCATTCTATTGCTGAAAGATTAAGAGCATCTTTGGTTGGAGTATCTGCTTTATCATTATATGGGTCTCGAGAATGTGCCTTGACCTTGATAAGCTTAGATCTAGATTTTTTTTTTTTATCAGCTCTACCATTCGTATCCATAGTGACCAGTTTTTATTCTTTAGCCATCTTTTATATGTTTTTTTTGAATCATCTTTCTCAACTATTTTCCACTTTGAGATGCAGGCTTGACTATCTGTAAAAATTTCAATTGAGCTACCTACTGGAACTACTAGGAGTATTGTAACTATTGCCGTTAGTTCTGTACATGTGAATGAGAGCCAACTGTCTATTCCTGTTTAAAATCTATATTCTTTTCCTATATCACTTATTTGAATCCATGTTGCTCCCATCTTTATATTGTCACTGCCATAATTTATTAGTGATCCATCTGAATAGAAGGTTAACTTTTGTTTAGATCTTAGATTATACTAAAGTATCTTTATTAGGTGATCTTGATATACTTCTTCTTTAATATTCTCTTTAATGATTGTTTCTTTCCAACTTTCTATATTTATATAATTTATCTTGGTACCTTGGGAGGTGAACTGCTGGATTGGCTCCTACAAACTCTGTACAAATACTTAATTACTATCTATTGTTTTTCTAATTGCTCCTTCCAAAGATATTGTGGGGCATGGGATTGTTAGTATCTGGGCTCTCCTAGTACTTTTTCTTGTATTAATATATAATATTATATATATCTTTTTCATATCTTCCTTCATGATACAACTCTGTTCTTGAATAAAACCTTTTGAGCAACCCATATATTTAATTAGCTTTGTAGTTTTTGATCTTGGCTTTTCTCTTAGGTTTTTCTTGTAGTAACTTTCTCCATATTAGTTGATGATTGGCATTCTTTTTAATTATTCATATTTTTTGTCTCTTGTCACAGTTAGAGCTGACTATAGAATATGTTAACTCCCATTTTAACCAATATATTTTTCATATCTCTATAAGTTGATTTAAATGATCTTTGAGGAACATTCTACTTATACTTAAGAACCATTTTGGAATAGGACCTTTGCTAGTTTTTTGAATGAGTTGGAGCATGATCAATTTCTTATTTCATTTGCTTTATAGTCGATGAGCTGATCTATATATATCAACTTATTGTTTCTTAGTGATAGTATGGCTTTATTATATTCCTCGGGTAAGAAATATTCTTTAATCAGACTATTTTCTTTTTCCCATTCAAAGATATCATGCCATTTCTAACTTTGAAAAGTAATTTCATATCTCTAGCTAACTTAATTACTTGAAGCAAAAAGTTACTTTTGTCTATAAGATGGTCTAGTAAGTTACAAGTCAGCAGGTTGAGTGGTTCCCAATATTTGATTTATACTTATTTGAGCCTTATAATTGTTATGATTCCTGCTAGTCCAAGATCATTCAATCTATTGTACAATCTTATTATCTAACTTTCTTTTTGTAGCATCCAGATACTCTTCAAATTATGGATCTTTGGGTGATGTATCATGCTATTGGGAGTAGATCTGTATAATAAACTTTTGTGTTTGAAGAGTTTTCTGTAGGCTGCTTTTAACATATTGTATATTTTCCAGGACAATATGCTATGCTGTATTTTAAATTCTATTCTTGGTATTAATACCCTATTTAAAATATAGAGTGCCTGCTTATCCATCACTTTTTTATTTTTGAGAGTTCTAGCAATTACATGAATTTCTTTGAGCACTCTTTCCTTTAGTTCAATCGAAGTCTTTTGGTTATTTGTTCAAATTCCCAAAAATCTTGCTTGATCTGCTCTATTGAGCTCTTTAACTACTTCTTTTTTAATGCCTGTTTGGACTTCTTCTGAATAATAGTTAGAATTGTTAATAATAACTAAAACTAATTTGTTACTATTGATTTAAGAGTCATTGGCTCTATAAAAAATTCTTACTGTCTCCAAGATCTTTTCCATATTTTCCTTGGATCTTGCTATCCATGTTGTATCATCCATAAAAACTATTGTAGCATATCTTGATTTTAACTTTTTAAACTTGTGACTGTTAAAGTCTGGATTCCAAGTAACTGATATTTTATATCCTCTATTTGTGTCATTTTGGATTTTACATAGTAAAGGGTCATAGAAGATTTTTCACATTAATGGTGAAATGGTCTCTCCTTGATTGATTCCATCCCCTGCTTTTATAGGATTAATAAGATCATCTTCTAATATAACTTTGAATTCTCTGTTTTTGAAAAGGCTCATCATAATCTTGATAAAATCTTTCGGTGCCTTAATTTTTTCCATCACTTTTACTAGCATATTTAAACTAATAGTGTCATAAACTTTGACTGTGTCTTGAAACAATATTCACAACTTTTTTTTGTTCTCTCTCGCATTTTCGCAGATATTATTCAGAATTTGAATTGGTTTTGTCATACTTTCTCCTGGTAACCCTGCATAGTTGGGTTTTCTGAGAATATTATTGATCTTACAAATATTTTCTATTCTGTTGATCAGAACTTTGATGAAACACTTTCTAGTAGCCTCCAATAACACAATAGGTCTCGTATTTAAAAGTTCACAATCTCAAGGCTTTGGCTTGACTATGGGATATATATAACTTTGTCTACAGAATATAGGAATAATTTCTCATTTCAGACCTATGGGTCAATAGTACAGTGGTAGTGCTCCCTGGTCACAATCACAAGGTCTGTAGTTCAATATCACTTAAGGATCAAAATCAAAAATTATTATTCTGATCAGATTTGACCAGTTATCCTGTGAAAGTCGTATCCAATCATCCAGAACAAGTTCTAAGCAGGTTAGGCTGCATGAAGATGAGACTTCTGGCTTTCCATCGATCTGGGGCTGAGATCTATGGTTGTACTACTGGAAGGATTGCATGATGAAAGGCTTCTGGTCTAGCCTCCCACAAAAACACTTCAAGTCTATTCTGATTTGGCAGCCTCCAGGACCCCTACTCTCCTAGCTCAGAATATCTCAATTTGGTGCTCTACTTAATTGAAAATCAGTCAATAAGGACTGATCAGATGCCACAGGTGATAACAAAGAAGGAAAGTGCCCCCTTCTGAGGCCTGAGCGAATAATATCTAGATAATATTGGAGGGTATTATATCCCATCGAGTACAATTAACTATAGACTAACTTAGTGAAACAATAGAAATTTGTAAAGCCCAATACTAACTAGCCTAGATTAGCCGTTTATGACTGTGTATTGATTATTTGGCCCTTAGCTAGATCTATCCACTCACAGAATTGTTACAAGTCTATCTAGGATAAATCACAATAGGTCATCATTAAGCTGTATAGATATAGAAATATATAGCTTGTAGAAGATAATTGATGTAACTGCTGTAGAATTTAATTATCCATCAAAATTAAGTTAATTCTTAAATAAAGCTTGCATCTAATACCAGTTGCAGTTTAAAAAAAAAAAAAATAGAAATATATATTGTAATTTATATAAGATTAAATTTTTAAATTAATAACTATAAAAAAACAATTTACAATAATTTTTTATCATTAATTTGTAATATTTTAAAATTTAGAATTAAATAAAGATAATAGAATTTCTTAAAAAATCAAAATTATAAGAAAATAAAAACAGTGAATAGAAATGTTTTCAAAAACTATTCTTTTATTGTATAAAATATTTATATATAATTTTGTTTCAGAAAAAAGATTTTTAGTACTATAGTATTGATTTTTTTTTTTTCAAAACTTTTTTGTCATAAGTAAAAAGGTTATTTTTGATTTTTCTTGATTATTGAAAATCAAATTTTTGTGTAAAAAGAAATATAAACAAAAGAAAAAAGGTAGAAATGACTCTTGAGACTTTATTAGTTTAAAAGCATAAAACTTCTTGCAAATATTCTTTTTGTGTATTATCAAAGAATTAGCATTGATTAATTAATAATTATTAAATTATACATTTATTTATATAGCAATCATCTTTACTTTTTTCTTCTTTTTTTTTTCAAAATCCAAACTTTTAATATAAATATTTATTTTGTTGTTTACTATTATAAAACTTTAAAAAAATAAACAACAGCTTATCATAGTATAATAATCTCGTGTAACATTACATAAACCACTAACGCTAAGATGGCAACATCGAGAAGTTTTATCTTTACGTCCCGATTTCTGTAAACCATATTTTATTCAGTTTGCAGATCTGCCATTGAGGCCTTTTCATGTAGAGTAGGCAGCATTATCTCAGGTTGCATCCGACTCGCATCAAATATTTTAAATTGGTACTATAGTGTTTGACGGCCAGTAGAACACTCTTTGCAATTGGTGGGGAAAAACATGGAAGTCAACAAGGACGAAGCACTCAGGTGCCTCAAAATTGCTCGAGATAAATTGGAGGCGGGTGAAGTTTCTGGTGCAATTAAGTTCGCGCGAAAGTCTGTAAGCTTGTTCCCGACAACGGAAGCAGAGGCGTTTCTGAAACGGGCAGAGTCAACCAAGACAACGAGCAATCGAGAAAGTAGCAGTCACCAATCGCCTCCAACCTCGCCGTCGAGTCCTTCCAGGGAACATAAACAAGGAAGGCAAACTCGAGAGTACACAATGGAGCAAGTAGAAGCAGTCAAGCGAATAAGGTCTTGCGGAGTAAACGATTATTATTCCATACTGTCGATAAGAAAAGAATCTTCTGACGCAGAGGTTAAGAAGGCATACCGAAAGGTTCACCACATGATTAAATTTTATCGGAATTTTAAATTTTTTTCCGTACCAATGGACAGTTCTAGTTCTGACTTTTTAAATATAATGTAGTTGGCTTTGCAGATGCACCCAGATAAGAATGGAGCACCAGGAGCTGATGAAGCTTTTAAAAGTATGTATTTTCGGAACGGGAAGTTCAACCTTCAAGTTCGTTATATAATGATAAGAACAATTTGACGTTTATTCTTATTTTAATTTAACCCATTTTATTAATTTACTATTATTATTATTATTATTATTATTATTATTATTATTAATGGAACGAATTAGTGGTTAGCAAAGCATTCCAAATACTTAGTGACCCACAGAAACGGGCGATATATGATGAACACGGGGCCGATCCGGATTCGCGAAGCACCGGAATGCCATCTGGATTTGGAGGGGCTCGTTTCAATAACGGATTCGCAAACGGAGCCGTGTTTACGGAAGAAATGTCACCAGAGGACCTATTCAATATGTTCTTCAGCGGGGATGGTATGTATTTTAAGGGAGGATCGAATAGTTTCAACATTTAACCGATCGACTGAGATAATAACGACCTTATGCAGGCTTTCATTCGGCTACTTTTGTTGGTCCGGGGTTCAGTGCACGACGGTTCCGACCACGCCGAGAGTCACCTAATGGAGAGGGAGCTCGAGAACAAAATACATCACCGCTTCTAACATTTTTTCAACTCTTACCTCTCATTCTTCTTTTCCTATTTACCCTCTCTTCCAACTGGCTTTCACCAACACCCGAACCTATGCCATCATACTCTCTTTACCAATCACACCATCATCCAGAATCCCGACACACCCGATCACTATATGTTCCATACTTTGTTGAACCAAATCAATTTGCAAGTTTTGCTCAGAATCCACGGAAATTGCAACAGTTTGAAGATGGTATTGAAATTAAGTTTGTAAAGTCATTGACAAATGAGTGTAATAATGAGTTAGTGATGAAGCAACGAAAGGTGAATGAGGCGAAGGGATGGTTGTTCCCCGACGAAGAAAAACTAAAAAGCGCCCAGAACACAAAGTTGCCGAGTTGTGAAAAACTCATGGAGCTCAGTAAGTCGCAAAGATACAAGGAGATTCGAAACATGATGGTCAGACAATGAGTGGTATGTCCTGAGAGAGGTGGAGCGGGCACTCTGTAATCATTGTCACTCTCGAATCTGACAAAAGATCATTTTATTCGTGAAATCCAGGAAATTAATGATTCAAAAGGACAAATGAGTCATGTGAGTTATTTAAATCGAACTCGATTTTTTTTTTTTTTTATTTGTTTATAGAGTATTGTAGAGCATTTCGGAATTAGTATTCCAAGCACTCTTCAAAAAAAAAAAAAAAAAAAAGAAGAAGAAAAAGGAGGAGTCATATATGTTACAATTTTTCAAATGATTAGTTAGTTGCAAATGGACGCAGGAGGGGATTTTTTTTTTTTTAACGACCAAAAGATCTTCACCAAACATAGGTGTGAACATTAAGTAATCTGAATGACCGATGGGAACATGTATTGGTAGCAGCAGCATTAATATTTATAGTAATAATGTATTAATAATAATTCGGGATTTGAAAATCCAAATCTTTAATGGATTCGAATTTATTATTGACAATTAAGTTCTTTTACTAAATTATGATTAAACGAAATGTGACTAGCTCAAATGTACGAAATATATTCTGTAGTGAAAGAGATCCCCGACACAGATTTCAGTAAATCTCTTTTTGCGCCATCGAGGAGTGGAACATTCCTGTTGGTTTTCTTATGGGGTACGCGTTCAGTTAAGATGTGATAAGTTGGGCGCAAGTAAAAAAAAAAAAAAAAAAAAAAATATGAGGGAATAAATTAACCTCACACGAGTTGAATCAAAAAAATTTCACAATGGTTCTTTTGAAAAATTTTTTAAAAAGTTATGAAAGAATGGAATGAAAATGATACAAGAGTAATTCAGTACAATAATATATTCAGCGTGTTCGGGTGGTGAAAATGTCTAACAAAAGAAAAAAAGGAATGTTCGGCAAAAAAATTTACACATTCTCTTCGGGATTTGATCTCATGGTTGATTCCAACCTTTTAACTCGAATATAGTCCGTAACACTTCGAATGACGATGAACCATCCCAAAGCCATGAGGATGTAGCTACAAATTTCACACCTACATCGTGAGAATAACGTCAAAGTGAATTTAGATCAAACTACCGTACAACAAACCTTATCCATGCACTACGAGCCAACAATTCCTTGTCACCAATATCGGGATCTTCGTAATAATAATTACCATCGTCCTGAAGCGACCTACCACGAAGATAAAAACCATATTGTACCAGTGTAATCCCCAAACCAGCCCGGGAACCGTTCTATTCAACATTTGCAACAATTACATTTTTAACTATTAATGATAAACTTTAAACACCAACGACCATTCTTATCTATACCTTGGCGGCATGGGTGGTGTGTAAAAGGTATGTGAGCAAAAATCCGACAAATTGAAAGCTCATGGACACTAAAATAGGGTATTCCGTGTTAATCAAGAAAAACCCGGTCGATCTTCAACTAATTTCATTTGGGCACTTCCACCTACCAAGCATATTCCAAACGAAACCGAAGAAATTTCCTACGGGCAAACCTTCGACAAGCATTTCGTCCCCACATAAACCAGTTGTAATGTTGGTTGTTTCCAAGTATGGTGGTGCTGCATCAGCCGCTGCTGTTTCGTATGGCTAACGAAAAGGATATAATGATATTCAGCGAGAATTACTGGTTGAACTTTACAAATGAGAGACGAGACTACAACAAACCGGTGGATTTTTATCTTCGTTGTCAGCCATTGTGTCAGGTTTAGCAGACAAATTTGAGAATACACCGTCGGTACTCGAAGGTAGAGCAGGAGGTTGATTACTAATTTTCCTCTTGATCTTCTTTAATATGGAAAATCTAGTGTTCCCACTGTTGGAACCGTTTTCTGCACCAGTTTCATTCTCGGTCTCGGCGGACTCTTCTACAACCTCCTCGATAATCATGGGAGTAAGTTCAGTCTCTATTATATCATTGTTGTCACCAACTTGTGCTGCATTTGAAGAACTGGAAGTAGAGGCCTCAGCGTTCGAAGAGGGAACCTGCAGTTCTATCGCTTGGACGTCTTCTTCTTCGGCATGAGGAACCTATTTCGATTCAAAAGTTACTATCAAGCAAACAATACAAAACGAGTCTCGGACGTTGAATCAATAATATTGCCGCATGAGGAAGTTCGGTCAACTCGACATTTCGAGAAACTTACTCTTGAATATGTGCTCATATTTTTTGGGGGGGTTCGCGCAATTCCTAACGGTTAAGGTAGGAAGGCTTAGGCTTAGGAAAAAGAGAGGAACAATGCTTATTCGACTTTTGAATTTCAGCAAAAGAAAAGAATAAATAACTTTGGTAGATATTAAATATAGATATAGGGGTTGGAGAGTTTCGACACAACGTATGCTTATCTTTCGGAAACTTTACAGAGCCTTGACCAGAAGATTAAAAAAGCTTAGCTTAGTTTCCACATCGGTTGTAAAAATATCACCAGCATAATTTTTTTGCATAAACCAATCACTAACATAAGAAGGTAATCATCATGTTGGATACATACTATAAATAACCACCAGAAATATCCCGTGATTAATCTAAATGCTAGCTACTACAAACATAGGTTTTCGGTTGTTTCACTTCGTATTCCTTCCAAGAAATTTCGAAAATACCAGAATTACAAAACAAGTAAAAATTTTCTTTGTTCACTTCTCAAACGATAACGGTAATGTATACAGTATATATAAATAAAGTATAATGCTTACATTTAGGAAGTTTTCAAATTTTACAAAGCTAACTAAAATGAGCTTGTCTGAATCATTCATTACTTTGACCCAAATATATCTAATCAAACACGAGATTAATTAAATCATCATTATATCTCTTAAAAGAAAATTCGTAACAAGTAACAACATTATATATACTGTATAAGTACGTATATACAATTTTTTTTTTTTCTGACGACTATAAAAATGCATTATTGACTATTTCGGTTTATACGTTATTGCAGACAACCCAAGGGATGCTGCGTGAGGTTTTTTATATACTGTATATACAGTATATATCTATTCTTTTTTTTTTTTTTTAAAAAAAACCATGTCACGTGATCGACAAAAAACCATAAATACGTTGATAATCGAATGAATTTTATTTGACGCTTGATATGCCGAAAGTAAAATCTCGAAAGTTTGGTTATTCTCACCAGCCATCCAAAAATGCCACCTCCACAACCCCCGCTAGCAGAGCGTTGGCACCATTGTTTAACAAAAGCATGGGCCAACACATTCTAAAGAATCCATTAATATCGCAGAACATTGTAGAAAAAGTAGGATTTGAAATTTGAATGAGAATTTCGCCGGTCAAAAAGAGGAGGAATTTCATCAATCCTTGTTTTTATAATAAAGGCCGGTTTGAAGAGCACGGATGTTGTACTTGAAGTGGGTCCCGGTACTGGTAATCTTACGGTGAGAATATTAGAGAAGGCGAAAAAAGTAGTGGCGGTAGAAATGGATCCCCGTTTGGCTGCAGAATTGACGAAACGTGTCCAAGGAAAGTGAGTGTTTTCAATGGCATTCGAAATACCTCATTTGTCGGGTCGAATCTAACCTCAACTTTTTAATCAGGCCCGAACAAAAACGCCTAAATATAATGATTGGTGACGTGATCAAGACGGATTTGCCATACTTCGATGTTTGCATCAGCAACACACCATACCAGGTTTTGAAACGATCATTCGGCCATTCAATTGAAATATTGAACACTTTTATGTTCCGATCGCGTCTTTATGTGTATATATATTTCTCGCTGCAGATATCCTCTCCCCTTGTCTTTAAACTTCTTGAACACCGACCGTTATTCAGATGTGCGATATTGATGTTCCAACGCGAATTTGCCATGCGGTTAATTGCAAAGCCGGGCGACAGTTTATACTGTAGACTGAGCGTGAACGTTCAGTTGTACGCCAAAGTGAACCACATCATGAAGGTACCATTATTAACCTACAATATTTCAATCTACCTTAAAATGTGTAATCGACGTTTTTATTTTAGGTTGGAAAAAATAATTTCAAACCTCCACCGCAAGTGGAATCATCAGTGGTAAGGATAGAACCACGTAATCCACCGCCACCAGTGGATTTCAAGGAGTTTGACGGATTATTACGGATAGCCTTTGTTAGAAAAAATAAGGTATGTCTCGTTGTGGCGCAACGCGATTGCGTGTTTAAAAGTGACTAAACGATCTTTGTCACAGACACTAGCCGCAAACTTCAAAACTACATCGGTGTTGGACATGATAGAGAATAATTACAAAACATTTTGTTCTATAAATGAAATGGTGATAAGCTGTTTTAATTTTCAATTTAATTTTACCAAGATATGAAAATTGACCGTGAAACCTCGTTTTTATTAGATGATAGATGCTGACTTTGACGTGAAGCAAAAGGTTCTCGGTGTTCTTACGACAACAGGATTCTTGGAATCTAGAGCGGCCAAAATGGAAGTGGAAGATTTTCTAAGGTAACTTTCCTCCTTTAACCTATGAACAACACGTTTATTTCTAGAATACACTAATTTTGGTTTTTCTTTTTGCAAATAAGGTTACTCTATGAATTCAACAAAGAAAATATTCATTTTTGTTAAAGTTTTCAATATATTATATAATCAAGTAAACAGTAATTTGTTGAAATAAAATAAATTTGCAAATAAATAAATTAAATATTTACTGTATATTATTTTATAAAATTTGATTGATTTTTGGATTATTACAGCGGCTCTCATAAAGAACGCGCCACTAGCATTGATGATCTTTTAATCGCATATAATTCATGTATTTCAAATCATATCAAGATCAAATCAATAATACAAATAATTCATCAATTACAGTATTTCAATAAAATATTTGTAATTCTATTTGACCATCTTGTATATCCTCTTATTCTTTATAGTACTATATCAAAACCAAAAGAGTCTTAAACAAAAAAGTCTTAAGAAATCAAAACTGAAGAAGACAACATGGTATGGCCTATTAACTTCACATATTTATTTTATATATCTCATTTCAAATCTTTAGAATATTTATTTTTTAACTATGATCCTGATCTTCTTTTCTTTATATTTTAGTTTTTTAGCTTTTATCAATAGGTTTCTTTCAATTAATCTTATTTATAAACTGATTATATTTTGACTTTTTTTAAATATTTTTTTTTTATAAGCTTTACTATTTATTTTTTTATTTCTCCTAGCTTTTCTTTACTATTTGTTAAAGTGTTACTACAGTTTTTTTAAGCCAGGTTTTTTCTTTCTATTCTTATCTTGTTTTATGAAATTTTTGATATACTATATTTGATTTTTTTTAATTAAACTTTTTTAATTATATTTTTATAGATTGAATATTCTATAAAACTTTTACTATTTTTTTATAGTTATTGTATATTAAATATATATTACTCTTATATAGGTTTGATTTTCTTATCATTAGTTTAGACATTATAAACAACTCATTATTGATTAGCTTAATCAAAAAACCTTTTTTTCTATAAACTTTTTAAAACATATTCTATATATATTTTTTTAAAAAATCTTTTTTATTTTATATTTTATAAATAATTTTAATAGTTTATTATTTAAAAGCTTTACTTGTCACTAATTCAATTCTGTTGTAACTAATAATAAATTAATATTTTATCATTCATTTTTTTTATAAACTGTCTTATAGAACTATACAATATCATATCTTATTACTTTACTTCTATAATAATCATATTAAACTTGAGATTCTTTTATTTAATTATTGAAAAATTTAAAATTTTTTTTACTAGTTTATCTATTATATTATTTTTTATAATATTAATATATACTTTAATCTTTAATCAATTTCAATTTTATATTTTTGATCTTAACTATACTTAGTATTTTTATTTAAAGAAATTATTATTTTTAAATTAACTTTTCCTAAATTATTTTATTTAAAGATATAAATTTAACTAATGATCATAGTTTTGATCTAAATTTGATTGATCCTTGAATTAGATATAAATCAAATCAAATCAAATTTTAAATTTTTAATTCAATTGAATTTAGATTGAATCAAATATTAAAGCTATGAAATTATCAAATTCAAATTGAATTCTAATCAATTTTATCAAATTCAAATTGGATTTAAATCAATCTGATCAAATTCAAATCAGATTCGAATCAATTTATATAAATTATTATATAATTATTTAATTTTATTTAAATCAAACTTTTTTTTTTTTTTTAACTTATAATCATATTATGATAATAAATTTTTATTAAGATACTTAAAATATTCAATTATTTTACAAACTTTAACAAAACAATTAACTCATTATTGCACATTATTGGTTAAAAGATTATATCACTTAAAAAATATAAGAAGTTTACTAAGCTAGTTTAGTCTAAACAAAATTAAGTCTCAACTAGATACTCTAAATCAAATTTAAAAATAATATTACACTTCTTTAATAGTTTGATAATGACTTCCAATTACTGGAATAATTTTCAATAGTTTGTTACTGTTAATTATTCTAAAAAACAATAAATTGCTAAAATAATTAAAAAAGAAAAAATAATGAAAACAATTCAAGGTATCTTTAAAAAGTTTTTTAATCCATTCAATGGTCTCTTCTTAAAAAGATTTGTATAAATGAAATATTATTTATGCTTTATTTGAGTTTTGTAAATGATTTTTTCTTTGTTATCACCTGCAATATTATAGATAAATTTATTATTTAAGCAAATATTGAATTGGAATATCTCAAGAAAAATAGAAAACCTCAACTTTTTTTCCTTAAAAGAATCTTTTCACCACTTGAGAAACTTAGATGAGAAGGAAAGTTTGACTGGTTACATTATCTCTTGTAACACCTTTTGATATCATAATCCTTTTACTAAAAAACTTGCTCAGTTGAAGATAAAAAAATTTTAGGACTTTTTTTCCATATCACTATTGATATCATCAGATTACATTATTATGACCAATAAGAACTTGTTTATTTTTTCAATAACTAACATATTTTGTGTTAGCCAATCATCTTTGATGAGAATTTGTGCAATTCAAAATTCAAGATCAAATTGAGATAGACAAAATTTTCTAGAAAACTATAAAAATAGAAGCTTTCAAAGAAACAAGACAATTCAAAAGGAAGAAAATAAGTTTTTTAATTGTAACAGATTTCTATAAACCTCTTTCTTCAAAGATTAAAAAGGTTTTCAAATACTTTACAATCAGTTTTTCTTTCTTTAAAAACTTTTTTACCATTAGTATTAAAGATATTACTTGACTTTTTTTGATTACTAAAAGTCAAGTTTTTGAGTGAAAAGGTTTGTAAACAATAAGGGAAAAATAAAAATGACTCTTGAAGTCATGCTTCAAGTTGTTTTAAGGAAAGTATTAAGACTTTATTAGCAAAGAAGTATAAAAACTTCTTACAAATATCTTTTTTTATGTAATCAAAGAATTAGTGAAAAGAGTCTTTTATTTAAATTGAACTATCTAGGCAATTAAAATAAAAAAAATACAATTTTTTTTTTAAAAAATAATATAAAAAACAAGTTAAAAAAAATTCAATATATTTTCCTTTTTATAATTTTTTAAATAATTTTTTACAATATTATAGTTTTATTGCTCAATTATTTTTTTGTTTTAGCTAATTTATTTTTTTTTAAAAATAGAATATGAAAACTTATTTAATAATATTCAATTTGTAAACAATAAAAATAATAGTTTAATTAGTCATAATAATATTGATATTTAAAATACTATTGCAAGCAATTCATAAAAATTAGCCTCAATTAAAAAAACTTTACTTTTTTCCAAAAATTTTTAGATCCTTAAAATTTCCTTCTTAGGCAATTACTCAAAAGAAAAAGACATTATAAAACACAAAAAACATACTCTTGTAACAATATCACAAAACAAAATAATCTTAAAACTCTTTCTGCTGATTCTCTGATCATACACAAAAAAGATGTTTGCAAGAAGTTTTTATACTTCTTTGCTAATAAAGTCTTAATACTTT